TTCCACCAACAATTCTCTAACAGGACTCCCGTATCATTTAAAGCGGTTGATGAGCGATTGGTTCATTGTTGATAAGTTTATTAAACCTGAAGATGAAAATGAAGGTTTGATTGAAATTCTATTAATCTGTGCAAACACTTTCATGTTATATGCTAGTTCTAATTATCTTATTCATTTAGATGAAAATAATTCAAGTGTATACTTGAATAAACGTATACCAAAAAGAAAGGTTGAAGAAATATTGCCATATGATGCCAATTTTCGGAAATAGCTGTTATCTGTATATCAAAATATGGGCTATGTATCAGCTTTACTTGAAAGTTCATATCATAACTATGAACTTGCTTCTTTTTTTGTAGATGATGACGGGATTAATAAGCAATTTCATTTGCATGTTGGGAAAATTATCAGCATATTTGAAGAAAATGGTGAAAGCTTTGCAATTTTACGATTAATATTTAGCCATAAAAGAAACAATCAACGCTTTGCTTTTATTATAATCAATAGGTTTGAAATCACCAATCAAACGAAGTTGGAATGTCCTGTTTATAGACTCCAAGATAGAAGAACAATCCATCCTATAAGTACAGTAAATACAAATATTACTGCATATTTTATTCATTATTGTAACGATGAATGCAATGGTAGTCATGAATTTGGAAATGGTTTATATATAAGAAACATGTATTTCTTCAAAGCAGCATAATATTAGTCATTACTTCGCTACGAAATTTTATATACTATATAACATATTTATAATGAAATATTGAAAATACATTTACGAAATATTCAATACATTTATTTCAATTGTTTGCGAAATATTTAATACATTTTTTTAAATTATTAACGAAATATTCACTTAAAATTTAATAATATGTTTATTAGTTTTTATGATATCTTTAAAACGCGTTTACAAGATTTTATTAAGTTCATTACATAATCATTACTAAATTTTAACTAAATATTTTCAAAATATTTAATCATTAGTTTATTACTATTTGTTATGTTTTAATAACTTAGATAATATATTTTTATAAATCTTCACTATTCCGAAACAATCGTATACAATGGTCTTAATGCCCAGTAACTGCATATATTCTAATGCATTACTGTAATAACTACATATAAAATCGTATCAGATTTACTGCTAAATTCTATGCCATTTTATAACGGATTTATCACTATTTGGTTTCTATTTTGTTACTAAATCTGGATTTCAGTAAAGAACGAAAGTAAAGGTAACAGAAGGTTTTTAATGATGCAAGAATTTATTTAATAAAATTAATTTATTATACTTCCGAAGTCTAATTAATTAAATAAAATAAAGTTGCGAAATTAATATATCTAATCAAAAATTATTCTAAGGGGGGATCGGTGTATTTATAAAATTAAAGATTTCTCCTCAACAATCCACCATTTTTATAGGTCGATCGCTAACCATAATAAGAAAAACAATTGTCGACCCTTATCTAAATTTACAAATGGAAAGCATTGTCTTCTGTGAAGACAATTTATTCAAACCTATAAATGATGATATAAAAGACTTGTATATTTCTAGAATTTTAGGAAAGGTTTGGAATGACTACAGTAATGCACCTATGCTACATGTTGCATTCGCAATTAGCGTTTGCTACACTATATTAAATCCAGCAATTGAACATATAACAATTGACAAATTAATTATGGATCTAGTAAATAAATATTTGGTAAGTATTACAAAGTATTACAAGATTTAAGTAGTATTACATAAAGTAATATTAATTTTTTTTTAATTTTTAGCGAAGAATTGAGGAAAAAAAAGGATTGGAAATCTAGATGGTAAAAATGATAATCAATATAATCGTGGTAGATCAATCTCACGAGAAATCTAAATAATTTCAATATATATTGTTTTATTATATTTAATACTAGAATTGATTCAAGTTTATTAAATTTTGAAAATAATGTTACGTTTAGCCTTAAACAAAAGAATGTAACTCTTTACTAAATTAGTTAATTTCGTCAATATATAATTCTTGTATCACTGCCTGCCATAATTGCATTAGATCAGCCATAATTTGTTTTTTAACATTTGATGTCATAAGTTAATAAAAATATTATCACAAACTTACGCAATTTGTTTTATATTTAATTTAATGAAATACTTTAAATATTGCATTTTCAGATCTTATTGATTTTAGAGTTTTAGGCATGAATTCAATTATATACAATGCTTTAATGTATAGTCTAAATATTTATTTTACTATAATATTCAGTGATTCTGATTTACTTATACAAGAATTAATGATATATTCATATAAAAGTAAGTAATAATTTTATTAATACTATATAATACATATTATATACAAATTATTTTTTAAAAAAAATTGGATGTACTGGGATGCGCTACTCAATTAAATAAATAAAAAAAATATAAAAATAAAAAAAATAAAATAAAAAAAAAGAATTTTTAAAAATTTGAGTTCTAGCTGATATTTAGTACGAACTGAGCCTCACTATTCAATTAATTATATAAAATAAAAAAATATAAAAAATATAAAAAAAAAAAATTTTGAAAACTTGAGTCACCAGCCGATATTTGATATGAACTGTGTTTCATTACTCAATTAATTAATTATTAAAATAAATAAATATATAAAAAAAAATAAAAAAATAAAATAAATTTCAAAAAAATGATGATTTTCGAAACTTTGAATCTCTAGCCGATATTTGGTACAAACTTAATATCGCTACTTAATTAAATAAATAAAAAAATATAAAAATAAAAAAAATAAAATAAAAAAAAAGAATTTTGAAAACTTTAGTCTCCAGTAGATATTTAATACAAACTGGATCTCGCTACTCAATTAATTAAATAAAAATAAATATAAAGATAAAAAAAAAATAAAAAAAAAGAATTTTTAAACTTGAATCTCCAGCTAATATTTGGTACAAACTGGATCTCGCTACTCAATTAAATATATAAAAATAAATATAAGAATAAAAAAAAAAATAAAAAAAATAAATTTTAGTAATCTTGACTTTTCAGCTAATATTTATTATGAACTGGACCTTGCTATCAATTAAAAATATAAAAATTAAATTTTATCTTTATATTTTTTGGCATAATCGTTATAGTTTTCAAAAAAGATTAATTCCATTAAGTTAAATAGACAATTGTATTTGTATTTGTCTATGTAGTTTATGTTGTATTTTATACATTCAAATGTCATGATATATTCATCATAAATTGTCAAAAAATTCATTTGTTTGGTACTGAATAGTTGATACGCATTTTAAAGTTGTAATAATTTTTTATAGAATTATAGATTTGTGAAAATACTTTATACTTTATTTTGTTTTTTTTTTTGATTTTTGAGACTATTAAAACCAAAGTTATATTTATATAAAATTTTAAGATAAGCTTTTTCATATTGAATAATACAAATACAATACCTTCTGTTTAGCGTTCATATTAAATGGAAAAAAAGAAGAGAAAGAAGAACAATGTGAAAGGGAAGATAATGCAAGGTTATTATTAAAGGATAATGCAAAAAGTGAAAAAAATAATAAAATAAAGTATTATTTTTTTAAACAACTTTCTTGTAAATTATAGTATTATTTTAATTAATGCATCTAAAATATGCATATGATATGGTGAATTAAAATTTAATGATATTTAACGCTACTTAATGCTATGTATATAATGATCTCCTGCAGTGATATTTTGTAAAATCTACCCTAAAATTGCAATGTTTTAGCAACCTTTACAATTATCATTTCATCATCGCAATTTTTTACATCATTTTTTAAAATCTGATTTTTTTTATTATAAAATTTTTTCAAAATTAATTTATATTAAAATACATTATATTTATCTTTTCAGAAAGGTTTTGATAATTATTATCTAAAATATTAGTATAAATTAAAAAATTCCTTTCATCTGACACTGGTGTAAGTCACTTTTCTTGACATTTTAAATATAAAAAACATATAAAAAAAATTAATAAACCTTAAAAAAAAGAATGAACCAGTTTCATCTATCAGTCTATCTATTTTCTTTATACGCATCTTGCATTTTTAATTTTTTATAAAACGAAATTATAAATTTCTTGAAGAAAAGCAAATAAGTTCTTTTGTACATGATAAACGCGATATTGGTAAGCATGAATACCAAATTCTATATCGCATCTCAAGCCTCCGGAGCGATTTTTATCGTTTTTCTGATTGCATTAAGAAACTGCAAGATAAATTTTCCGAAAATAGATTAAACATATTACTGTTGTAGCCCAAACGTCACCATGTTCCAAGTTAAACTTGGGATATCCCAAATCGAAATTCCTATTTCGGACTTC